TAGTTGGTTTCAAAAAGAAGTGCAGTAATAGGGGGATGAAAAAATAAGTAGAAAAGTAATCCAGGGTGTTGTAGATAACATTGTTTAGATCAAAATCTCAATAGTAAAAAAAATTGATCCCATCATCTGGAAAGGGCTTATGCAATTTTTTGACAGGCCCTCTGCTTTTACCTTTTTCCTTCCTTTTTTTCTCCCTTTATAGAATTAAATATGTCTAGCTGTCTGATTTGGTTGTCAGACTAAAATTAGGCCATAGTGATCTGCCAACTGTAATATTTGAACTTCTCTAACTTGATTTGCTCTTACATGAACATCTAGGGGGAGGGAAATATTATGGTAAGTATTCACACTCTAATTTTATGTTCTATTTGGATTGAGTGATCATGCCTACCAGTTTGCCTAAGAATAGTCTCACTTTACATCTGTTACTTATGTGTAATTATTGATAACTCCTCTTTTATGCTCAAAAGTGTTCTGATTTAGATGATGAATTTTTATGGCCACTTTGTATTTTGATAAATAGTATGGATTTACTTCAAATACCCATCTCTAGAATTAGCAATGATATTAACTGTAGAAGAAAAGTTGTCTGGTTTTCCTCTTCCTTCCTGAGGCTTCTTTGAGGTTCTCCTTTGTTCTTTTACATCACTGTTTTTATCTTTACTGATTGAAATCTATGCCATCTCTTCCATGACTATTTTCATAACATCTTTGGTGCCATTAGGTTTGAGCTCAAGTTGTGCTATTGAATAAATGGCTTTGGCACTGTGGTTGAAAACCAGAATTAGTGCGTCCCTTTGTGGCCTGATAGGAATTAGATTTCTGGGCAGCTGCACTTATTTGCAGAGGACAAAGCAGTGAGATAAGGATAAAAGGAAAAGAAGAGAGACTAAGGAGATTGGGCAGTATGCAACCTTTTAGTCTAAAAATAATGTTTTTTTAAATGTGTAAGTTTGTTGTGGGGCATGGTGAGTTGGTGGTATTTGTGCTAGCTTGACTTATTGATATAAAATTCACTTCAGAAATTAGGGATTTAACATAGATAAAACATATTAACGCCTAAGCAAATCTAACCTGATTTCAATTTTGTATACTCTAATGTGTATATATTTATTATTTTATTTGAATTGTATTTATTCAGAATATAATGCTTATATGATTCATTATATTAAAAATCATTAATGTTTTTAATCAAATTACTACTTCATTGACTATGAGAAATTTCAAACCTGTATAGTGAAATGGAGTCCATTATAATGGACTAGTAATTCTATAACTTTTCTTTTACAGGTCATGTAATGTTTGCAGAAATAAAAATGGAGAATGGAAAGTCAAAAGGTTGTGGAACAGTCAGATTTGACTCCCCAGAATCAGCTGAAAAAGCCTGCAGAATAATGAATGGCATAAAAATTAGTGGCAGAGAAATTGATGTTCGCTTGGATCGTAATGCATAATTTCAGACCACGGTTGGAACATTCCTACATCTGTTTTGTCGAATCTCCTAGTACAAGTCATTTTTTTAGTAATACTGTGTGCTTATAAAGATGTAAAAATGAACTTTTAAAACTCCCACCAGCTTTGAACAGTATAATGTTTAAAATATACTGTGATTTTTGTTAATCTCAAGTTTGGGTTTTTAAAGACAGCAAGTCTGGTCATTCAGTTTAAATGAATGGTTATACTGTTTTTAATGAAATAAGCCATTTTCTTGTTTTTTTTCAGTATTACATAGTGGGATTTGTTTGTTCTAGTTTCTCCAGTTTTTATCAACTTATTGTAAGGTAAAACATAGATGGGTTTTTCAAAATTTGTTTTATAATATGTAATGGTTCATGAAAAGAAAGGGCTCAGACAGAGTAGGATATGATTTTAGTTGGTTTTGAATTACTTTTCTTTGATGATAAAGAATTACTGTAAGTTAGTTTTAGATTCTAAAGTTCAGGATATTTTTTATTTGCTTTAAATGAAGAAATGGATTTTTCCCTCTCTGCCCCCCTGCCATCACATTTTCCACATAACACTATTAATAATATCAACCTCCACAGCCCCTTATATTATTATTTCCAATAACTCCAAGTTCATATAGAATGGATAATGTTGCAAGCCCCAAGTATAGTAATAGGCAGACAACTCCCAACTTTCTGTCTAGTTTCCAGCCATTGAAGTGAACTGCTAGGAAAAGAAAAATAATTGAAATATTGAGAGAGATGGTTATGTAAGTTAGCCCTCTGCTGTTTACTTCTACAGGAGCTGATCCGTTTATAAATGCAGTTTTAATAAACCATGGAACACCAAGGCATAACATGTCAAACACATTGGATCCCACGATGTTAGACATAGCCATGTCTCCTTTCCCTACAAAAGAAAACATGTCATTAAAATGTGCATACAAACTGTATTCTATTAACAATCTTCAAGGAAAAAACACTGGATAAGCTTTTTGTTGTTGGTTGGCTTTGAAAAATTGTTATTAGAGCAGAAGTCTTATTGAATTTGTATTTAAAAATTTTTCTTGGTTTAGTATTTAAAGTTTTAACATTTATTTAATAATAATTATCTTTATTTATTAAACCATTTTTTTCAAGGAGGTATGTAGCTTACTTGTTGCTTTTCATTCTGATATAACATGGTTACAAAGTAATGCACATTTCAGGTGAATATTATTTGGGAGATTAGATTGAGTGAAATTCATCTGCTATTAAGTAGTAAACTCTTCCTTTTGAGTCACTTTTTTTCCCCTTCAAAATATGTTACTGAGGAAGTAAATATTTTTAAAGTTACTTTTACTCAGTATATTTCAGCCAGGCTTGAAGATTGGGCATTACAGATGGAGGGACCTAATTCTTACCTTTTCTTGCAACCAACACACTTGCAATTGTGTCTGGTATGCTTGTTCCTGCTGCTAATAAAGTAAGGCCCATTACTGTATCTGGAATTTCTAGTGTTTCTCCTGTAATAAACATAGGTATTACAAATTACAAATCTTACAGATTCACTAACCATTCTTTGCAGATATTTCCCTGAACAAAAATAAAATAGGCACATTTAGACTTCAGAACCAATATGTGCTTACTTCGTTTTTAGCTAGCAGAATATTTGAATCAGGTTGGTAATTTGGGCAACCCAGGTACACAGATTTTTAATGATAGATATCTAAAGATTTTTAATAGCCAAAATTCTACCAATGCGAAATTCCCCTATTTGGCATTCTTAAAGGTTGTTGATGTCTACTTTATCTCATCAGGGCTGTTGCTTAATATATGCGAATGAGACTGATCATTTCCTCTCTTAAAAAATTATCCTTAAGCTACAAATGTGTTAGCATGTATCTATACATTTTTAAATTTCTGCTTCAGTGATAGACCTTAATTTAGTGTTTTCTTTGGGAAAGTCCATAAATCTCTGAGGAGTGCAAAACCTATTTGTTTTCTTCTTGAGTCTTTCTAACATGGTCCCAATTTATTAATACTTCTGTTAAATTGGATGTCAGTTCAACATTTTTCAGAAATGTATTTGTTCTGGGAAACAGAACCAGAGGGAAGTTTTAAAAAAAGTTTGTGTAACTTTTTTTTTAATGTTGTAATTGAAAACTTGGTTTAGGATTATTGTTTCTTTTTTATTTCCTTTTTTTCTTAAAATGCCAATTAAAATAACTTAATTAGAAAGTAGCTTATTTATTGCATGCTTATATATTGATACTGAAATTGGAATTGGTTGTTAATTTTTGTTACTGGCTTTGCTAGAGTTCATATGTACATAAATAACACTAATGTTTATCATCTTGGGTCTGTTCTGTGATCTGTTACTTGATTTTGCTTTCTTTTTATTTTCCTAATACCAAATGTGTTCTGGCTGAGTAAATTTGGATAGATATAATATGCAACCTAATTGGACTTAGGTTTCATCTTTCTCATTAAACAAAAGAAGAAGAAGTAGTTTGCTTTTTGCTAGCTTAGTATTCCAAAACTTACATTAATCTGAGAAAAGTCAGGAGTTAGGAAATATTTTTGTGTGAAGGACTAGATAGTAATTATTTAGGCTTTGCAAGCTGTATGATCTCTGTTGCAGTTTTTCAACTCTGCCAGTATAGTATGAAGGCAGTCATAGACAATATGTAAATGAATGGGACTGTGTTCAGTACAACTTTACTAATAAAAACAAGTGATTTTGGTACACAGGTGGTAGTTTGTTCACCTTTGATATAAGTCAATTCAGGTTAAGCCTTTGGGGAGATATTCCTAACTTTTTGTCTGTGTTTATAGTCAGTTTTTCATGTGGGTACTAGATCAGATTATGGCTAAGCAGTGATAGTTTAGTCTTAATCACGAAGGTAGTGGAAACCTACAGTGAAATAGTTCCCTTTTCATTCATTTCATCAATGGTTTATATTGCCGTATTGGAAAGCAAAATATAATTCAGTTAAACAATGAAGCTACCCATCATTTCCCCAAAACAGTGAATTCTTGCTTTATTTTTCATTATGGAATAGACTTCAATATAATGAGTTGATAGTGGGCTCCATGCAATGTGATTTCATTTATAAGATGATTCTTTGAATTGTACCCCAGGCTGTCTAATAGTGAGAAATATAGTTGATATGTTATATGCAACTCACAAAACCTGAATAATCTTGTTGTTACAGTAATACTTAATCATTTTGTAAATGGCACTGATCTTTAGTCTTTACTGAAAAGACCTTTACTCCTTAGCTAGACTGCTGTAAGTGAACATATGCAATTTGTTCTTATATGAAATGATTTTCTTTTTAAATTGCGCTATTGTACTTAAAATACATACCTGCTATTGTGACCATCCAAACCAGGATATATGTAAATGTGGATATCCATAGTGCAGACATGAAAAAGGTTATCACAAAGTAGTTTTTCCAAAATTTTCTTCTACAATCTGGTGTGGTTAGAAAAAGTAAAGTAATAATAGGAAGGGATAATACCCAAAAAATTCTTCTTAAATCTGCTTCAGGCATGTTGAAAACACTTGGTGGATCTGTTGTGGAAAAATTAAACATTTTTGAGTTTTCTCAAATGGCTAATTAAGTTAGAAATGCCCATTTAGAAAGTTACATTGAAATAAATAGCTGTATCAGTTTTTAAAAGGCTATTTAAAACATTTGGCTGTCTCATTACTGATACTCCTGGCAAAAAAATTAATTGAAACTTTAGGACCGACAATGTAAGATGTAATACTCAGCATTTCTTGATTTGGGGCTCTAATCCATCAGAATGTCTTGGGCCGTTTACTTAAATATGTTAGAATCTTTAGTAACTTTTTGCTTATGGGATCCACCTGACTTCCAACCCAGCTTCCAGTTGTCTCCACTCCACCATGTTAGTGACTTCTCTCCTTGCCCTTTGTATCAGATAATGCGTACTTAGGGATTATACCATAATTATAGCATAATCTTTTTGTTAAGTTGCATATCTATTCTAATTCTTATTATAAATTGGTTTTTGTGGCCTGTTTCATTACTCTTTTAATTACTAAATTCAGACTTTACTACAATTATTAGAAAGAACTTTAAGAAATAAGGAGACAGTGTATCACCTGCAGTGTTACTTGTCGTATGTACTTTAAGAAATGAGATAGTGTATCACCTGCAGTGTAACTTGTGTAAGTTTTGAGTATGTGTCTTAATTCAGTTTAAATTAGTGGAAGGCAAGAATAACGATAATATATTGGGTAAAATGGAAATTTAACTTTAAAATTGTTTAAAATGTATATGGCATTTACAAGATAGTTGTACTTCATATGTTGGATCAAATCACATTACAAATAATGCTAGTTAAAATAACTTATTAAAGATTTGCTAATTCTCAACCAATATGCTATTAAGTAATATCAGATACGATTTTAATGTACTCAAGTAATTTGGACTAGTTCTTTTTAGTTTCTTATAAAAATTAATTTAGAGATGTGTACCTCTTAAAAGTCATGTTTTAATTTTTTAAAGCAGTAAATTAGAAGAAGTTCCCTTTCTAAAGTAAATAATTAAAATTAACATCTATTTTATACAACCACTTTATAAAAAAGTAACCCATAAACTTAACAATTCTGGCCATAGCTGAATTTGACTTCCTACTGAACATATTTACCTAAATGTTTTGCTTCTGCTTTGGTTTAAACCTCAACTGTTTCCTTTTTTCTTTTCTTTCAAACAAGTCTCTTTTTTCTGAAATCCTAAATTTTACAAATGGCGTTCCCATTTTCTCAGTCAGGCAAGATCAAAACCTGGGAGTTGTTTTTGCTCTTTTTCCTGGCCCCATATAGTCCCTCAGTTGCTCAGTCTTGGTAATGCTTCCTCTGTGTTGTCTCACTTCTGTTCTCTTTCATTTCTCACTGCTTTCACTCTTTATAGGCATCTAGTAAACACGTCAGCTGTTACTGTAACCTCTTACAGACCTGGTCTCTTACCTCATTTTTCAGTTCTGTGAACATCATTTCAGAGCAATATTTTAAGTTAACAGTTCTAATAATTTCTCTCCTTACAAACTATCCAGGATTCTTACACTAACATTTAAAACTCTTCCTATGCTATTCCTTTCTATTCACCTTTCCTCTCCTTACTATGCATATACTGCCATATGTACTCTTATCTCGGCACCATTTATGTAAGACACATCAGGTCATTAAAATTACAGCTATCTGGAAAGGCTCAGTTTAAATGCTCTCTTCTCTGATAATCTCCTAACTGTCCTCACCAGGTTGTATAGTCTGACCATTTTTGAGCTACCATTACACTTTATCTTTTTATGGTACTTACACTTTCCTAATTTAACTATCTTCTTTTCTTTTTCCTACAATATTGGAAACTCCTTCAGGGTAAGAACTTCCTCTTTATCATCTCTGAATCTCCAATGTGTCTTATACATAATAAGTACACAATACTTTCTGAGTTGAAATTACTACGTTTTTCTAGTGAATAGACTTAAGAGTGGGCAAGATGTAGTTGTTACCTTCAGAAATCTGACTAAGACCATGTAAACTTATAGAGAGCTGGGAGTAGCCAGAATCTTCATGAAATATTCCACTATCAGTTCTAGATTGCCGACGAATGAATGGTTGACCCTCATCTTCCCATCCCATCAGTGGCTCTTGTTCACTTCTGTCCTCCATTGCTTTGGCAAGACAGGTGCAGCAAGGACTGCACTTCTTTATAATATATTGGTTAATTTTAATGTCAAAACACAGCACCAATACATAGAATCCATATATCAAAAGCAGTATAATTCCTTCATACCTATGAATCAAAGAAGAGATGTGTTTTTAAATTAAAAATGAAAGTCATTTTGGAGTTAATAGCTTTTGGGCAGAATCTGTTTAATGATTTTCTAATGAAATCAGCATTAGAACATTCAAACATTTCTAGATACTTTTTGTTTTATAGATTTGTCCAAACTTTGTTACAATAAATTATTACAGATTTATTGATAAAAGCCTGACATTTCTTTGTGTATTAAAAAAAGGATTATAAATTCATTGTATTTATAGATTCCTTCCAAATGGTAGGCATAAAAATGCATTAAATATTCATTAAGATTTTCAAAATAAAAATAAAACTCATGAACAAGTGGTGGGCATTTTCTGTCTCAGTTCATTGGCACAATGCAATCCCCCAAATACATAATAATCATAAAAGAATATGGTATCTGTTAATCCATTTCATTGGTGTTCATTCAAATTTTCTGGTGTAAGAACTTTGTGTAAAATATTACTCAGAATATGTTTGGCTTTGGCTGGGACTTTTCAGTTTGCTAAATAGATTTTTTTTATTTTAATGTAGCTGAATATGGTTTATATTCACAAGAACCACAGATATTCTCAAAAATAAACTAACACCTTGGGAGCTGAGAACTGTTTCCCTACACTCTGGCAATTAGCTAATACCATCACATTTGAACTTTTATTTTTGCATTTACCTTTTATTTTATAGCCAGTGAATCTCTACTATAACTGAAAAAACAGAGTTCCTGATTTACCTAATAGAGGGAGCATTAACTTGGATACTCTCACTGTCACTGTTCCTTACTGACAACTGAATTCCTGAAGGATTCCTCTTCTACCAATATAGTTTGTTTTGGGAGACAGACTCAATGACAGGATGATTAATTTAGAAATTCTACTTCCTGTTACACATTTTATGTTTCTTGATAACAGGTATTATGCAGTGCTGCTAAGCTGCGGTACTCCAGATGGGCACCACTGACATTTTTTCATTGTCCTTTGGAAGATGTGTAATGTGCAACCAGTGCAGCCATGCATTTTACATTTCTTTATCCTTTATGATGCTTTGCATGGTGATAAACACACAGAAGATACCTGGTGCTGTGCTATAGTTTGTCCTCCTGAGTGAGCATCAGAGAAATATGAAGGAATTTTCAGTGACTTCTTTACTTTCTCCATCTTTCTCTAGTATTTTTGAAAATGACCATTTCTAACCAAGGCAAGGTAGCAATAACCTAGCAGAAGAAAAAGCCAGCTGTTGGGGCTTTAATGGGCAACAGAAGGGGAATCTTTCTGAACAGGCAGCCAGTAGGGAAAAGGAAGAGTGATGGTCTTCAGTGACTAGTAAGAGAAAAAAGATTATCAAGTGACTAAAAAGAAATTGCAAAGTAGTGAGAAGAAGCCAGCTAGCAATTGTGATGAGGACATTAGCTCAGGCCCATTGGAATATGGTGCAGAAGTGGCAGTTTGTGACTAAAATAACATTTCTGCAAAAGAAATATTACTGAATCATCAGAATTTTATAAAGTCCTCTCTGTAATTGTGTTTTACATAAGAGTAGCAATTTCAAGCTTACCAGTAAACTTGGTTGTCAAATATTATGCCAAGAACTGCTGCTACACTAATTGCATATGCCACACAGTCTCTGAATAGGGGCCAACACGATAGCGTTGAAACCTGTGAAACCATACATAGTTAATGTATTATTTCCAATACAGTGAACTTACAATGCTTAGTATAATCCGAAAACTGTTTGTATATTTGTAGTTAAACACTATTACCTTTTGCATATTGCTTACAGAAACATTTTAAAGAAAAATTGTATTTAAACCTACATTGACTTTCATTTGACCAAGAGCTATTTGTGGTTTGACTTTTAAATGGAATAAATGTTGTTTTTCTACTGATTAATAAACTTTATTGAACACATTATT